TAGGCAAGTGCCTACATGCTGGAGACCCTACCCTGGCGGGAACCCAGAAACTTTTCTGGGGATTTAGCAGGATGATCTGAGGTCAGACCCAAGTTTTTCCTTCACCACAGGGTTTCCTCTCACCTGGGAAACACAGTCTCTGGTGTTTTGGAGCCCACAGTTCAGCCTGTTAGTTTCTGTGTAGTCGCTGCTGCCCTGCTGATCAGACACATCAGCAGTGCCATCTTGGATCTTCTTTTTCTCTTTCTGTGCCTAGGATGTAAACATTACTTGATAAATGCATTATATCATTCACTAATAATGTGCCTAAGGCTGGATAACTTGTAAAGTCAAGAGGTTAATTTGGCTTGTGATTTTTGTAAGTGGAAGGTCCATACACTATGGCATTGGTGTTATGGCAAGAGCTCTGTGGCTACTTTACAACATGACAGACAGAGAAGAAGGTGAAGGGGACTGATATAGAATGAGTCAGCCTTTTGGGGTGGTCTTAACTTATAACAACTAGCTCTTGTGAGGACTAATTGATACTATGAAAAACTACATTTTTCTCTTCCAAGGATAGATTTCCACGATAATTACTTCTTAACCACTCCTGGCCTCTTAGTGATCACATCACTTGCCAACACTGTGACAGGGGTTCCAGCCAATAGTGCTTAGGGAACAAACCCTTGTAAACCAAACCATGCTTGAAAAAAAGAAAGAGAAGAAGAGGAGGATGAGGAAGAGAAGGAGGAAAGGAAGAGGAAGGAAAAAAAGAAAGGCAGAGGAGGAAGGAGAAAGAAGAAAAAGAAGAAAGAAGGAAGAGAAAGGAGGACAAGGAAGAAGGAAGATGAAGAACCAAAATGAAAGAACATTCAATATTTAAAAATAATGAGAAAAATTTAAGACTTACTGAAAACTGAATAATAACAACTTCAAAAATATGTGTTGTTGAACAAAAATATTTCTGATGCTTGTTGAAGATGGTGGGGTGGATTTATGCAAGAAGAGCCATCGGACAGTCAAGGGGAACCTCTGTAATGGGAGCTTCCAGTAGGGGAGAAAAAATGGCCTCAACTATGAAAACAAGAACAATGGGGTCTGTAGCCAAGGATCAGGCTAGAGGTTTGAATTTGAAAAGCTACTGAGGAAACTTCAGAGCTAAATGGAATTCTGACTAGAAAATTCACCAGAACTCTTACCTCGTACCCAAGGCAAGCTAAGGTGATAGGATATGGAGGGTTTTCAGGTGCCAATCATGGGAATGTTCCTTAGATTTATTGTAGTTAATTATTATTGTTGTTGTTCTTGTCAGCTTAACTAAAGCTAGACTCAACTGGGCAGGAGGGACCTCAACTGAGGAATTGCCTTTATCAGATTGGTCTGTAGGCAGTTTATGATTTAAATTTGTGATTGACTAGGGAGGGCCCAGCCTTCGCTGTCTGAGAAAGCTATGGGGAACAAGCCGGTAGGCAGCACTCCTCCATAGTCTCTGCTTCAGTTCTTGCCTCCAGGTTCCAGCTGTCAGTTCCTGCCCTGGCTCCCCTCAGAGACATTCCGACCTGAAAGCTGTAAGATGAAATAAAATTTCCCCTTTAGGTTGCTTTCAGTCAATGTTTTATCACAACAGAGGAAGCCAGCAAGAATGGGTGAGTGGGTTTCTCCCCAGTATTCTTGCTCAAATTGGACTCCATAAGAGGGAGGCCTAAAGCCAGGTGTAATGGAACAGGAGGCCCAGACGAGCCTGGCTAAAGTTCAGTCAAGAGAAAGTTTTTGTGACTGCTAGTGACAGATACAGTGTACAGAGCCTCTGTTTTCCTGTGTCGCATGAAGGCTGTTGAATTCTGCAGTGATAGGGTTTGATTCAGGGTTATAAAACTTCTGGTGATACCTTGCCACCATGGCATCAAGAACGCACTATGTAAGACTTTGCTTCATCCCTGGGGGGAAAAAAGTGGAGAGCTGTGCTGAGGGAAGTTTCTCCCAAAACTCTGAGCAAATGCTCCAGATAGCCAACCATGAAAAGCATAAACCAGAGGGGGAAAAAAAAATCAAGCTCCGCAGAAGTATAAAAATAGATATGGGTCAGGCAGGAATATGGAGATGAGCACTCGTAGGCTGTGAAGCTGGTACATCGTGTTTTGTTTTGTTCCGTTCTGTCTTCTCAGCTACCACTTTAGCTCCAGGATGCAGGGATGAGTTGCAAGAGAGATAGAGGATAGGCAAAAGGAATCTGCTGGAGTCAGGACTTAGGCACACACTGCCCACCTCACCTCACACACTCCACCTCCTGGAAGCAAAGGCAGCTGAGGTGGGGGAGAAAAAATAGGGCATCTGGGTGAGGGGCATGCAGCCTCCTGCTGCCTTCCAGGAAGTCAGCTTTTTATTATTCTTATTTTTCTTGAACAAAATTGGCTGACCCAGGAGGCTGAGGTTCAGCTAGATGGAAGAGAATGAGAGAGGATGGGAGGGTTTGCCCTTTTGGGATTCAGAGCAGTGAGGATGGGGGTTGAAGGAAGAGGGGCATCTTAATCAGAGTTTCCATTGTTGCTAGGAAACACCATGACTAAAAAGCAAGTTGAGGAGGAAAGGGTTTATTTAACTTACACTTCCAAACTGTTGTTCATTATTAAAGGCAGTCAGGACAGGGACTCAAGCAGGGCAGGAACCGGGAGGCAGGAACTGATGCAGAGGCCATGGAGAGGTGCTGCTTCTTCATGGCTTGCTCATCCTGCTTTCTTACAGAACCCAGGACCACCAGCCCAGGGATGGAACCACCCGCAATGGGCTGGGCCCCCTCCCATTGGCCACTAACTGAGAAAATGTTTTCCAGTTAGATCTCATGGAGGCCTTTCCTCAACCAAGGCTCCTTCCTCTCTGATGACTTCAGCTTGCATCAAGGTGACACACAACCAGCCGGTACACAGGAATTGCCCTACGGCACTGTGGGGTTTGGGGATAGTTTAAGTACTTTAGGAATTATTATTATTTGATTGCTTTGTGCTTCTCGGCACCCAGCATCTTCTGTAAACTGCCTTTGCAGTGGATAGTGTCACAATTGCCTCATGGAGGCATGAGCAAGCAACTGTAAGATAAGTGTCTGAACTCATTGTTTTGAAGGAAGAAATCATAAGCACTTTTGCCAAGAGGGAGGGGGGCTTCCTTAATGTGCTTCGGCTTTCCTGAACTAAGAGAGGGAACAGATTTGAATCAAGAAGAAAGATGCCTCCACTTGATGATCTAGTTAGAGCACACTGCCAGTTCCCCTCACCACTGCTGACAGTCATGATTTTGAAGGAAAGCAGCGGGGCTGGTCCCCCTCCTAGCTTCTGTCCCTGGAAGCTGGGCTTGCTTGTGCAAAGGCCCTCTGTTGGGGATGAAATTAAAAACCACTTGAAAGTGGAGGCCATGCTTCCCAGTTGACTCTCTATGCTTCTTACAGTAAGATAGTAGATAGGTGTGTGTGTGTGTGTGTGTGTGTGTGTGTGTGTATGTGTGAATTAGTGTCAATCGAAATTCCTTCATTGTGGAGAAGTTACCCAGTGATTCTATTCTCTCTGTTCTGTTTCACTTTTAAATTTTATTAGTTCACAAGCAAAAGCTTTCGTGGGGATAAAACTGCTAAGAGCAGAGCTTTGAGTAAAAACTCTTTCGCTTAGATCTTCGGGCTTTAAATTTAAAACTCGGTTTGTGGAGTGTCTGAGTTTCTTTGATGGGAGTTGTAAAGCTTTTCCTTTTTGTAATTTTCGTCCCGGGTAGTTCTTCCTTGTTTTTGTTTTTAAAATAGAGTTTTTTTTGGGGGGGCGGGGAGTCCAGAAAAAACAACAGCTGCAAACGGAGGCTTGGGCTTACTCATGGAGTTTGCTTAGTGTGTTTCTCCCCGTACAGAATGATGCTTGCTCAAATGGCAGCAATTTTTGATGCCCTTGTTACTGTTTGTGTTATTTTTTATTTTTATTTTTTTTTTACTTTAAAGATGTAACAGATTCCTCTAAAAATAAGTAATTCAATCTAATGTTTCAAAGAGTCCCAGCATTTGTACATTTCGCTTCCGGCGTCTCTTCCGGGACAGAGCTCTGTTCACAGAAGCTGCCCGTTTTGGTATCTAACTCCATGACGAATGGTGTTTTCTTACTTGCCTTTTAAAAACTGGAGTTTGTTTTGCACTATTAGGGTCCAAATGTTACAGGGTGAACAGTGAAGCAGTAACTTGTCTCTTCTGAGAAGGGGAAAGAGTCATGTTCCTACCAGCTGGGTCCCTAATCTTGTGGGTGGAGAGTTGAAGGGATACAGGACTATCTCAGGGGCGAGACTCTAAGCCACCTGTCACAAGAATTCACTCCAGGCTGAGGCATACATGGACCTCAGGCTGTGGAGAGATGGCTGAGGTGGCCAAATTCTACCCCAAGAATCCTCACTGTAGCTACCATTTGTTATCTGTCTGTCTGTCTGTCTGTCTACCTGTCTATCTGTCTATCTGTCTATCTCTGTGCGCGCACACACACACACACACACACACACACACACACACACACACACACACGTCAGAAGACCAGAGGTCAGAGGATAATTTGAGAGAATTGGTTCTCTCCTTTTAGTATGTAGATTCTGGGGATTGAACTCAGGCCCTCAAGCTTGGCGGCAAGCTCCTTGACTGCTAAGCCAAGTCCATTAAAGTAACTTAAAACAGAGCAGTCGGAAGGTGTAGCTTCCTGCCAAGGGAACCCACCCGCTCTCAGTCAAATAGTGGACATCTGTTTTATTTTCGAGACAGGGTCTCATTACACTGCCCCGGACACCTGGATCCTGGTGTGCTGACCCAGCTGTCCCTGAACCCCTTGGTGGCCATCTTGTTTGTCCTCACTGCCCCGTCTGTGAAAAAGAAGCCTCCATAGTAACAACAGAAAGGAACGAGTTGCGGTGCCTTCTCTTCTTCCTAACCGAGTGCCAAGAGCTGTTGCAATCTAAGAACAGATTAAAAGCAAGGAGTAAAGTGAGCACGTGCCCCCTTGTCCCTGCAGGCCGCCACTGTGAGGTCCACCAGATGATCGGGAACTACATGTGGGACCCCAGAACCAACAAGTCATTCGACATCGGGGTCAACCGAGACAGCCTGATGCCCCTCTGGTGGAACGGCTCGGAGCCACTGTGGGTCACCCTGATGAAAGCCAGGAGGAAGGTCAATATGTATTACTGGCCAGGTGAGTGCGCTGACCTAACGGCTTCTCCCTGCTTCCCAACCTCAAATGCCACGGAGTCTGCGCAGGAAACCAAGACGGAGTCCTTTGAAGACCACGGTTCAAGGATGGGGTTTGTTTACTTAAGAACTGTGGTCTACGGGTACATTAACTTTTTTTAGTGATTTTTTTAAACTTAAATTTTTATTAAAGGTGTATTTTTATATTGAACAAGTTCCCTTCTCTACCTGTCATGGCCCTAGCACCCCCTTTTCTTGGCTCTCCCCGCTCACACCAATCCCCTTGTTTCACCTAGGCAGTTTCACTTGTGCTCTCATTTAACGTGCACACACATGATTTGATGTGACTACATAAAAACCAGGAACGACAAATGAGAGAAAACATATGATCTTTGTCTTCCTGCGGCTGTCTTACTTTGCTTACTTGTCTCCATCTGCATCCGAGTTCCCAGGAAAGATAATAAAAGGCTCCGTGTGTGTGTGCTGCGTTTTCCTTATTTATTCCTCTTAGGTTGGTTCCGTACCTTAGCTGCTGTGAGCCGTTCTGCAGTAAACTGGCCTGCAAGTGTTTCTGCTGTAAGACTGAGAATAAATACTCAGGAATGGTGTGGCTTGGTCAAATGGTAGATCCTATTTCTGGTTCATTAAGAAGTGTCCATACTTATTTTCATGGGTGGGTTGAACTAGCTCACATTCCCACCCACAAAACACAAGGATTACTTTTTTCACGTCTGTGCCAAAATTTCTTGTTGTTTGTTTTTCTAGCGCCTGCTATTCTGACTGGGATACGCTGGACTCTCGGTGTGTTTTTGATTTGTATTTCAACAGTACCTATTGAGGCTCCATTTTGTTCTTTTCTGAACTGTCCATTTGCTTATTCCATTTATTAACTGGTTACTTGTTTTCTTGTTGTTTGGTTATTTGAGTTCTTTGTATGTTCAGGATAAGATTCTTCTGCCAGATGCATAAACTGCAAAGATTTTCTATTAGAGCATTTATAAAATCCCATTCTTGAGCTCTATGATATCAGAAAGTACAATGTCATTTCCTGGTTCCCTTGCTCAGGTGTCTCATGCTTGATTTTCATGCACAACATTTTCAGTATATAAGAGAGATCAGTCTTAGTTTGCTCATTGACTTTTTACAAAGGAATTGAATATACCATTTGTATATGCTCTAAAAAATAATTTATTTTTTATTTATTCCTTGAGAATTTCACCCAGTATATTTGCATTTCTATACACTTTAAATTTTCCTCTCAGCTTTGAAAATGGAAAATCAAAGCACTCACAATTGTTTGGTAAAGAATTACATGCTAACTCTTACTGCTGACTCCTTTTATGCATCTAGATAATTGGGAAGCAAAACTCTTTTACTGTAATGAAGTGAGTAATGCTACAACCTGCCTTGGCTACTGTGCAAGCTAGTAGATACCATCATCATGTCCATTGAATATCTTTCTAAGGAGATCCGGGGTCAGCCAAAGGTGTTTGCTGCCAAACTGGAAGAGCTGGGTTCAGTCTCCGGAACCCATATGTGAGAAGAATGAACTCCAGCAAGTTTTCTACACACACACACACACACACACACACACACACACACACACACACACACAC